CCTTGTCGAAACGTTGTACATTTGCTGTTATATTAAAGTTTTTCTTCATTACCCATTCAAGCTGTCTCCAGCCATTATTATAAAACATGTTCTGATTGCAGTATATATTGTGATAGTTTTTTTTATCTGTTTCCTTGAAATTAATGTGGTTCAAATTTTGATTTCATTGCCGTACATATTTGAGAGTAGTCAGCGTGTATATTCAAAATTGCAATTTTCTGTCACAAAGAACTTATGTAGGTAATAAAAACGTTAACTCTGTTTGTTTTAATTGCGCAAAAAAGCTAATCGAGAGTTCTCTGCGCCGTCCCTACTTTAAAAGTGACAGACTAGAGGAGAGACAGATAGTCAATACCACTTACTACCAACTCATGAATTATTTTTAAACAGCGAACAGTGGAATTGACCTTCATATTATAACTCTCCCAAAACTGAAAGAATGAGCATTCTTAGCGACTGGTTGCGATCCCGTAACCCATAGGTTACGATTCGAAAGCCTTTACCACCAGGTTATTAACTCTGTAAAAGTCGTTTTAAGCACCATACATTAATATATATATATAATTTATTCCTAATTCGTATTTATATATGTGCGTTCAATTTTCGTACAGTTTTACTTTTATGTCATTGTATGATAATTATAAACATTTCTTTCTCTCAAATGTACTTCCTTACTTAATAATTTTATTCAAACACGTTCGTACAATACTTTTGTTGTCGGTAGTTCTAATAAAGTTATCACAAATATAGTTAAAACCGCATAGGTGACGAAAATATCAAAATTAAATAATAGGTTGAACAATCGCCAAGTTTATATAATTTTATATAAAGGAGGATGACGTTTCGAGCTAGCGCTCTTCGTCAGCTTGTAAAAGTTATAGCTTATAAAGTTTTCAATCATTTATATGCGTTCCTTTCTTTATACTTTCTAATAAACAATGGATTTCTTTTGGGATTCAGAAACGACTTAACTAAGCACGTAGCTTCCAAGCGATTGTCTTTTGATGTCCAAATATTGCTTTTGTATTTAATGGAAATATCCTGCTGCATTTGATTTTTTCAACTGCTCTGTTCAGCTTAATGCATTTACACGTACAAGTTGCACGTGTTTAAAACTTGAGTTTAAAATAAGATTTGCGTTTCGATTTGAAGATGTAGATCCTAAGTGTAAGTGTTCGTTTGTATTTAAAAGCTTTCTTGTCCTTGCTCTAAACGGAAGTGTGTGAAATCTACAACTAAATGACTATTTATATTAAAATGTAAACACGGATTCGCGGCCTTCCGAATTTTATGTGCCGCCCAAGGTGATTTCTGAAAAACGTATAAGTTCGTTAAGAAAATAGCTGGGAAAATAATAATTACCTATTAGAAACAAACATTAGGTTTGGAACATGAAAAAGCCGAGAATGAACCACGGAGAGTCTAAAGTTCTGCTAATTGTTTTTCGCCTCAGTCTACGGCCTGGAAAGATTTTTAGAGTTTTGCCTTTTTGACGGTTATCATGTCTGTTGTCGTTAAACTGTGAACCTATTCTAGATTTCTGTCGCGATTTTATTTGTTTGTTTGTTTGAAGTTAAGCACAAAGCTACACGATGGGCTATCTGTGCTCTGCCCACCACGGGTATCGAAACCTGGATTCTAGCGTTGTAAGTCCGCAGACATACCGCTGTGACACTGGGGGTCGTTGTGATTTTATCGGCATGTATTTAGCATTTTGTATCTAGTGCCATCGTGGATGGATTCTAGTTTCACTATTAGCTTGTATGATGGTCTTATATTTTTATGTCTGTGTTGCAGTTCAGTCTGTTTCCCATTACTTAAAATTTTTTTTTCTCTGTTAATATATATTATATATATATAATATATATATTTGTATTTTAATATTGGCCTACTGTAAAGATATCTGAGAGTTAATTTCTACTACCAATCTAATACCATGGCATTTAAACGTTGAAAATTATACGAAATTAAATGTTACAAGATATACTGTTTCGAGTAGACTATAAAAACTGATGTTTATTTATCCAATAGCTGCTAAACGAACGTTTTTTTTTTCTTACAGCTTTACCTAGCTTGTCTGTACAGCCTACAAGCTGAAGGGGTACTTAACGAAGTAAGTATATTATTTAGAGTTTACCAAGACTCGAAGCAAGCATAATGACCAATTTGTACTTGAAACTGTGAACATTTACCAGCATTTTCGTAGTTAAATAACTAAGTTTCCGTTTTTAAACTCGATCACTGATCTCATTGCCTCAGACAAATAAAGGATTGTCTGAATTTTTAGCTGAGCAAAGAATTGGGATATCTTAACTAAACAAGTAAACTTGTGATATTTAGCGCATTTAATTCGTTTTTGTTGTTGTTACCAATAGTTGTATTTTTGAAATCCTGTTTTTTAAAACAAAGTAACTTTCTAAAGATCGCGTACAGAATCTGTAATACATATAACAAATTGCGATCGATAGATACATTTTCAGAAGAACAACAATTTAATAAAAAAAATGAAGAACAACAACGTGTTCTCCTGTTTTTAATAGATCAATGTCAAAAAAGGTAACAATTCTGTATTGTAGCAGTGTAAAACAAAGATACAAAAATTCATACAAGGGTTCTTAAAATCGTAAACCTAACCAAGATTTAACTTCAACTCTTGGATATAAGTGAGCTGTAGTGGTAAATAAATGATTAAAAAACAAAATTCACCAAACAAAACTTTTCTGGGTTAAGATAGCGTTAGAAAGTATTAATGTGATTTAGAAGAGACTTTTGGAGAAAATTACAATGTTAGGCCTAACTGAGAAAAAATTTTACTTTAGACATTCTCCAAGTTTTACGTGGAAATAAGTTATTTAATTTATACCTCTTAACATATAACGTAAAACTTTAAAAGGTATGGTTAATTTAAGTTGTTTAAAGCTATTAGAAAAAAATCTATAAACGTTATTATTGATCTAGGTTGTTCTAAGAAAGTACTAGTACGTGTACTTGAGTTTATCCGGGAAGTATTTTATGTCCGTTTTCCTTTTCCAGATCAACTCTGATAAGCTCTTTAGTAACATTCGAGAAGTTTACGTGTCTAATCATCAGTTCTGGGTTAAACACCTCCTTCCAATGTTGACCACCAGCAGAACTACCAAACAGAAACTAAACCCGGTTCTCATGAAAGATGGATTTCTACAGGTATCGATCCGCAATGACTCTAATTAAAGAAAATAAAATCCAGATTTTAATTGGCTTTCATGCAAACTAAGAATAAAAAATACAAGCTTTCGAGGAAGAATAACTGGTGAACACTTTTTTACTAAAATGGAAGATGAGTTGGCGTATTTTAATGAAATTTGTAAACAAAGGTCCAACGTCAAAATAAAATGCTAAATTAAAATCTTCAAATCCGAAGTTAAATCCCCGTCGAGGAGTAGTTGCCATTTTAAGGTAATATAGCTTCTGTAGTGATTAGCACTTGCCCAGCATCATAATATTTTTATTGAAGTATCTATAAACGTATCGTTTTTCCTTTTCGGCTTTTACGAAAAATTGAAGGTTATTTATTACTTCCTACACATAGCTAACTCTATGTTTCAGTTAAAGTAAAAGTGATAGAGATAGTGTTAGAGACCATACATAGTATGCTTAGCATGTTGTGTTCTTTGTATCACATTAAACATTGTTACGTTTTTATGTACGGTTCAGATATTACTTTATTTTCTTATTTATTATTTTGTATCTTCATAAACATTAGCTTGTGGTTGAACTGTGGGTAATTTACTGATGCTAACTCGACACACTTTAAACAGTAACATATGTTGTAATATATTTGTAAAAAATGTCAATCTCAATGTCATTAGACAGTAGGAGTGGCTTAACGAGTTTTTATTGGTCAAAAGATGTGTTAGCGAGAATTGGAAGAAAAAAGTTTTAAATTATCTCGTGTAGTTTTTAAAACTTAAATACACCACAAATCAGTTAACTTTTAATTTTACAATTTTGTTCTTAACAGTCCGAACGTCATTTTTCATCCTCTCTGTAGATAGGTTAAACGTAGTAATTCGGTCACTTGATTTTTTTTTTTTTGTGTAGTGTGTCCAGCTTTTCCGGCCCTACATCAAGTACTGTACTGAACACAACCGTTGTGTCGAGTATGTGAAGCAAAGAAACAAAGAGAATGAGCTGTTTAAAGCTTATGTCACTGTGAGTTTTGTACAATGCTTGAATATACCAAAGTTTTCTTCAAACGTATTTTTACAGTTTCATCGCTTACAATCTCCTTATTTGTGAAATATTTTGAATATATGCTATTTGTCTGTTTGTTTTAGCGCAAAGCTATACAATAGACTATCTGCACTCTGTCCACCACAAGGAAATGAACCCCAGATTTTAGCGTTGTAAGTCCGTACACTCACTATTGCCTCACTAGGGACATACACAGCGTGGTCACAAGTAAATAGACAACTCCTTTTCAGAAAAAATGAAATTTTTCAGTCATATTCACATGAATTGATATATTTATAATTTAATTAATATTTAGTACATCTTCCATTCGGTTCGTGGAGTTCGTTGATACTTTGGAGCATCGTGAGAATCAACTCGTCAATTTTAGATTGTGGGATTTTCGCCCACTCTTGCTTCAAAACTTGGAGTAGATCGCTCTTCGAAATTGGTTTTTTTGGTTGTTTCTTGACTTGCCGGTCGAGTATGGCCCAAAGGTTTTCGATGGGGTTCATGTCAGGAGATTGGCTCGGCCAGGGCAGCTTCTGGATACCATTTTTTTTCCTGTCACTTTTGGGTGTTTCTAGCAGTGTGACACGGTGCTCCATCTTCCTGGAACAACGTTGTGTTCTTGTCCACTTAATCCGAGGAATAAAGTGGCAAGAGTCCTTCCTCCAATATTTCGACGTATTTCGCAAAATTTATGTTGACAACGCACTCCACTAAGCTCGATCTCCCACCAACCCAAACAGCTCCTCAAACCATCACGCTGAAACCACCATGCTTCACAGTTGGCTGCGATCTGTTGAGCCAAAACTCTGAGTGAGGCATTCTCCAGACTCATATCCTTCCACTGTCCGAAAATTGAGCGAATCTTGATTCGTCTGAGAACAATACGGTCTTCCAAATACGAAGAGGCTTGGTCATCATATCACTTGCCCACTTCTTTCGTCTGACTATGTTGGCAGGTCTTAATAATGG